TCTTGTCAGCAGAAGGCGCAAGCGGAGCAGAGCGGGAGCAGAGCGGTCTGAGAGTCTGGGTTGGCTCGTTCCCAGCACAGCACCCGGGTGTCCTGCGCCTCGGGGCCTCTCGGGGTGGTCCGTCCCCCTCCTCGGCGGCCACCCGCTGCCCTCACCGGCTCTGTTCCCCTTGCAGGCGCTGGACGGCTTCTTCTTTGTGGTGAATCGCGAGGGGCGCATCGTCTTCGTCTCCGAGAACGTCACCAGCTACCTGGGCTACAACCAGGAGGAGCTCATGAACACCAGCGTCTACAGCATCCTGCACGTGGGCGATCACGCCGAGTTCGTCAAGAACCTGCTGCCCAAGTCGCTAGGTAAGGAAGCCCTTGTGCGCTGGCTCTTCCCTCCCTTCGTTCGTATAAGGTGGTTTCGTTCCAGCTGCGGCTTCGGGTTTTCCTAAGGTGGTGAGATGGTTTTCCTGGTGGTTTGACTCTGGGAGGTGCTGAGCTCTGGCGCCGGCTCCGTTTCTGGGCCGTTGAAAGCTCCGGGCGCGTTGTCAGGTACTGCAGTAGGGTTGCGGTACGGGTATGGGTATGGTGCCCCGCGAGCAGCAGATGGGATATGGCACGGAGCCGGGAACTTCTTGCTCACTGGATTTGTTTGCCGGCGATCGGAGAGCACTGTCGAAAACGCTGTTATGTCCTCAGTGAAGTTCGCCTTATGACGACGGGTGTTTTTGCGTGGTTTACTGCGTACTCAAATACACAGTCCAGGTACTGATCCATAGACCTTCGCCGCGTTACACACGTCCTATAAGTAGAAAACGAATACTAGATTTTGAAGAAATAATAGCCCCAGTGGATGGGACAGGAAGCTGGTGGGCAGTATTAAAGGATTTTTCGGCTTGTCCTTCACTGCCGAGGAAGCTTTTGCACTCAGCGCCGTGGCTTGGGGATGCGGCTCGGCACAGCTGTGGGTTTTGCGCGCGGGAAGAAGGGAATCGGCTGCTCCGGGTGGCGGCAGCGGCAGGTGTGAGGGACTGACCAGCGTCAAGAATCCAGCCTCATCCTGTCGGCCAGCATTGCCCACGCGCTCGGAGGCGGTGGTGATCCCTGCGGGCTTGCGGGGAAGCCGTTACGGCCTTAGTTCAGCCCTCCTTCATTCACAGACTGCTGACCCGGGTCACTCTTGGAGCCGTTGCCATCTTCTCGGTCAGCAGAGTTGCCCACTTGGGTGGAGCTCTTCTCCAATAATAGTTCCTCGATGTTCTCAGGTGTTTACTTAAGGAGGGTTTTGAGGCATTGGTTTGGGGGATCAAGGCTGGGTGCTTTTCCAGGTCGCACTCCTCCTGCTCCGCTGGCGTGGCTGCAAGCGGCCGGGGCCACGCACCGTGCGGACGGCAATGTGACGCACAGCTGTCACGGAGAAGTTGGCTGGGCTGCTGGAGCAGACGAGCTTCTTCCCCAAGGAGGTTAACTGCAAAATTGGGGTCATCTCAAATGATGACCGTCTTGCTGCGGGGCAGGACCGCGGGAGCCCCTTGGGTGACACCGAGCACACAGGGTGGCCCTGCCGGCAGAAGGCACTAACCAGTGTGACCAGAAGACACTTCCAGCGGTGAGACTGGAAATACAACATGATAGAGGCATGTGTGTGATGGCAGAAACCATCATTCCTTGACTCGATGTGGAGATCCTTGGGTTGCCCCAAGAGAGGACGCTTGCATGCAGTAGAAGAACAAGTTCATGTAGAAGATCGAGTTGCAGAATACAAGGATGTCTTGAGCCTCAACCCCTACATTTGTAGACACTCATCGTGTTGAGCCTGTAGAGACTCTGGCTTGGTCTTATCTCTATGGTTACCCAGTTTAAGGTTATGAACGGCTGTTTTTTTTTCTCGCGCTTGGATGTTATGAATCCCTCAGCCCTTCTGCTAGGTCAGTTTATGTGAAAGCTTCATAATCTGCTGACAGCAAAATCGCTTGGGGTGAACGCAGAAACCCCCAAAGAGATTTTTATGAAGCGTCAGCACAATCTGCCTTTAAATTGGTGCACGGAAGTTTATGGAGAAGACGAGGTTACACACAAAAATCAAAGCCAGTTCTGCAGGCCTTACCAAAAACGGGTGGTTTAAATTCCAGATTTCTGCAATTCCAAACCAGCTAAATAAACTCTGCAGAACGTTTTGCTGCTGCTGGTTTTCCCGTCGCTACTCGGGGGGGTGCGAGCTCCAATGCCTGGTCCCAAAGTAGAGTGAATTTTTGGAGCTGAGTTACCCTCCTAAAGCAGCAGTTGATAGTAGAAATGCTGACAAGCCTGTAACTGTATGATGGGGAAGTGTGGAATGGGCCGCTGTGGTTAAACCACTTCCGAGGAAAAACAGGGGAAGGTTTTTCGCTGCTGTGCGATGTGCCACCACGACATCTCCCCCGCGAAGCTTGTCGCCGGCTGTAGGGAGCGTGATCCGCGGTCGCTCTGACGGACGCCGGGAGGCCTCGCTGCTGTGCGAGCGACGGCAGTCACTTAGCTTTCCGTCGGCCACGTGAGTAAGAG